ATTATTATTATTATTATTATTATTATTATTATTATTATTATTACTTTGTCTGTAGCTTAATTAAAAGTGGCTGTTCTAACTTAATTTCCAACTTCTTTTTCAGTTTTGAAAGAGCAGGCGAGTATCCTTAAGTTCCCCATGTCGCCGCTCTCATGCCCCCTCGGAGCTCCTCTAGGATCCGCTCTCCTGTCGGGAACTGCAGGTCTGCAGGTCAGCTCTGGCTCTCATCACCTGCCCCTGGACCTCCATCTTCGCAGTAAGCTAGACCCCGGGGGGGATGGAGGAAATAAAACGAAAAAAGGCAGAAGGAGCCGAACTGTCTTCACCGAACTACAACTCATGGGCCTTGAGAAACGATTTGAGAAGCAGAAGTATCTTTCGACACCAGACAGGTATGAACTATCATGTTTCTTGTACTTAACTCAGGGGGTGAACAGTCATTGTTTAAATGCGAATACAGAAGATATAATCACATCATACGTATCTTTCCGGATACATTTAATTCTCACATATTTTCCTTTCAGCCAATGAAATGTTTTGTGCATTAATTCTGAAACTCTTATGTTGAAATTTGCAGAATAGACCTCGCAGAGTCGTTGGGTCTTAGTCAGCTACAAGTAAAAACGTGGTATCAGAACAGAAGAATGAAGTGGAAGAAAATTGTAAGCATTTATTTTAACACGTATTCAGTATAAAATGCAGATGATGATGGCGTGCAGTAAATGCTGTTCATAGTTGACATCGCCCCAAAGTCGACAGGCCATTGGCAGTAGCCTTTCTGTCTTGACTTTTTGTCTTTTGCGATCCAGCTACGTGTCTTTTTTTTTAATGTACAGGTCTTGCAAGGCGGCGGACTCGAATCGCCCACGAAACCTAAAGGACGACCCAAGAAGAATTCAATTCCCTCAAGTGAGCAGCTTTCAGAGCAAGAGAGGTCACGCGATGTGGACCGTCAGTCCGATGGTTCCTCCTCTTCCCATTCTGACGTTAATCAAGAGGAATAAAACGGATGCACTCCGTCAATGTGAATCGACAACAGCTTCAAGGATTTTCGGTGGATGGAGGTTTTGTACCTGAAAGCGACAGTTTGGCACTAGAGACTACTGTAGGCCTACCTTGAGTGGTAGCCTGTTTTACCTATTATTTCACTTTTGCATCAGAAAATCACAAGTTACGGTTCCCTGATTTTGGCACGACGAACTTATTTGCCCCCTCATTTGAAGGGAAGGAACAAAACACTGGTCAGTAGATCAACTTTTGTTGCATTCAGTGATGCTATCAACTCCCACTAAAGGCATACACTTCTTTTTTTGCTCGTTTGTTTTGCATTTGTTCTGCATTTCTCGCAATGTCTTTTCATGCAGTTACTACATAATATTAAATTTGTTTTCAAAAATAATTATTTCCTGTTTAATTTTCTGCAGTCAATTTTAACTAATGAAAGCTTGGACTTTTTGGTAATGATGTTCAGATGTGTGCGTGCGTGTGTGTGTGCGTGTGTGTGGTCACTACTGGGGCGTTAGTTTAACGGCCCTGCAGCTCTCCCTTTTGACCTAATGTTCTTCTATGTTCTTTATCGTTCACTGTCTTGCCTCAAGCATGCTTGCACCACCCCACAGTAGGCCTACTATTTTTCCAGACGTAGAGAGGAATATATTTTGTGGTCATTGATTTATTATAGGGAATATTTACGGAACACTGTGACATTAAATTCTTTAATGACGTAAATGAATTAAAGAAAATGTCTTTCAACAAAAATACCCCCCAAGGTGAAGAGAAAAAAGAGACCTAACAACTTTCTTCGGCAGTATGACATTTACTCTGCTAGCAGTCACAGATCTCTGTATAGTCGGGAAGGCCATGATTCATGCCAGATAATATGGGCCTATAATAGGTTTGTTATTTTATCATCTTTCTGCTACAGAATTATCTAGAAAGAAACTTATGCCATTTTATCCTATATTTCATTGGATAAAGATTTCTGACACACACGCATTTGTATGTATTATGTAATTATGTACTAATGCTTTGCAATGTTTGCAATTACATTTTGATGAACATTCTTAAATATACACCTCAATTATTAATTTTTATTTGTAATTAGCCATACGTTCGTTATGTTGCACCAGATATATCACACTTCTGCTTCCATGCATAATTTACACCTGTTTCACCACTTTGTAAATACAATTTTACATTCTGTTTATAAAGAAATTATGATAAATATAATTTATGTCATAAAGGAATCCATGCACGTCAATGCAATAACCTTACTTCTGCTGAACTTAATAAAATTGCATTGAAAAATTAAAATGGAATAGATTGCATCTGAAGAAATTGATAACGTGAAGTCAACCCCCATGCATGTCACTTCAGAAAGTGTTTGATATAAATCTTTCCACACTGCTGACAACAGTATATATGTTTATGACAACAAATAGCCAAATGCAACCATATTATGCAGGTTCATGTTGGATTTCTACACACACACACATACAGTATATATATATATATATATATATAAATGCAAGTTTTAGCCACATCAGATGAAATGGGCTTTGAACTTTGCAAATCTGTCATTTTGTGCAGAAGTGGTTAGTGTTACTTAAGTACTTGGCTGTGGGAGATCCGCAAATTACGCCAATTTTCATTAAAACTTTAATTCAGGGAGGATATGTTTACTCTGCGGTGTACATATGTGACACGGGGTAGCATAATATTTTCAAGGCTTTGAGCAAAGTTATATATGTGCTCCGATAGAAATATGCAGATAAGCTTTTCATTAGACAGACCGGCCTCAGTCGCCTGGCTGCGAAGTGCATGTATAAATAAGGAATGAATGAAAGTATGAAATATGCTAGATTCTCAACCCCCCCCCCCCAACAGACATATTACTGCTATCTATGCTTAAATACTTTTAAACAAGCAAAATACTGGTGTAGATCATTTCAAACCAGCGAGAACATGCGCAACACCAAAGTCAATGCATTATTATGGTATCCTCATCATCCAGTTTTTATTATTATTATTATTATTATTATTATTACCACGAAACAAAATCACTCCACAGTATTGTCGAAAAGTGCAAAACAAATATCCATAGGCCTACTTCATGAGTGAGGGTGATTTCAGTAGAAAATTCAAACCGTCACGGAAAGTTCTGCTATACGTATTTAAGTATTATACTGTTAAGAGGCATTATATGTCATTTTGTGTAAGCATAATCATGATTTTATTCAAACGGAAGCTTCTTGGCCTTCGCGTTAGTGGATGTTTTTTTTCTGTTAGAGCCTCCGAGCTAAGTACCGAAATAAAGCTATATATGTCATCTGCTCTTGTACTTTATTGGGCTCAAGGCGGGAAATGTTGTCGTCGAGCTAGTTTGAACAGTTTTACAGTTAAAACAAACGGCACTAACACTGATGTTACTGTCAATAAACTTTAAATCAATAGGCCTATTTTATAAACGTTTCGGATACTTGTGATTACTATTTGTGATACTTGCGTTGCAACTTTGGTTTTACTGCATTGAGTGAAACATGTTGGCAGTCGCTGACTAGCGTCGTATTCCCGTGTGTTTATACAGTATTAATGTTGTGCGAAAACACGGTAATACGCAACTGACCGTCTAAACTGTCATGCCAGCTGTCAAGTAACTTGGCGTGATTTTTCTGTCTTTACTAAATCGTTGCCTAATTAATCTGGGTCTGAATATTGACAGAACTGTAAGAAACTTTTCAGAAAAGACATTGGGGTAACACACATAGATCTACTGTCCATAAAACTTCTGGAATGGGTCGCCTTCACGTTGCACTACATGCAGATGTGCCCCAAAATGCAAGCTGTCCTAATTCATGATGACAGAATGAGATTGACGTCATCGCACTTAAAATATTTGACAGGGGTAAAATAAATAGCAGATAAAAAATAACAGAAAAAAAACAAATATTTAGGAGAATAAGAAAATATACTCGTTTTGCCCTTTAAGTAGACTACTTTGGGGTCAATAGTAGTTCTTACCGAAATCGTAATCATTAAAATATGCAAATACATCAATATTAGCCAGGTTTTAAAAAGCTAAAATTACATTCCTTATGCGGTGGCCTAAATGTTTTTATGCTCCAAAATTGTTAGATGTTGGGAATCGCTGATGTGAAGAATCCACACGCGTAGTGTTCTAAGCACACGTGGTGACTATATGGAGGTGTAGCATCAAGATAAGAAAACCAACGGTATTGAATTAACACGACTATAATGAAGATGAAGTTTTCTATATTATATTATTTACTGCTTAAAATGTGGTAAAAAAAATCGCAGACACGTCAAATGGAACCTTTGTTTTAAAACATTCAAATCTTCAATTTAAAAGCAACCTGGAAAAAAGTCAAGATCCCCTTTCTCTGATTATCGATGTTAAACGTTATCAACCGAAATTAATTTACGTTGTATAATATGTGCACCATGCAACAAAAAAAGTATCTGTAACATATTTACTACATTTCAAATTGCTAACTGTGCTTGTTTTATTTTGAATAATTGCAAAGAAGATTAGCTATAAAATGTACTAAGGTATTACTGCAGCAGTGCTATCAGTCTTTTGGCTTTCCTGGTGATATTAATAGCACAAAATATTAATAATAGTGATTCCTGTTACTTCTGGATATATACGAATTTACAGGGTGGTTAATATCATAAAACTGCTGCACCTTTTATTTGAAAGCTAATAATATAGTTAATAGCAATTCTAATCTTTCTTGTAGTCTGATATTACAACTAACACACAAAAACATTTCTGTTATTGCCCAATACTATCCAAAAATATTAAGGTAGGCCTATATTAGCGTAAATATTAAGGTAGGCCTATATTAGCGAAAATATTAAGGTAATATTTATTAGCATATACTTATGTATGAGTCCAGCCTAATTGCTGCACTGTGTAACCATTTATTAAAGGCATGATGACTGGGGCCACAATAACGAAATACAAATATAACCAAGGAACATTAAGGAATTTCTGGATTCTTAAAAATACCAAATGAAAGACTTGAGAAATAAATACGTTGCCAATCAATATCAGGAGTGGTCGACCATATGCTGGGCTTGTGCACAGGGACTGGGAAGGTTAAATGGATAATTAACCTTTTCGTGTCATTAGAGGGTTTGGATTTTTTTGCAGTGCCTGACATAATTATCAGTGTACTGTTGCGTTTTCAATGTGAGTCATGCCTTGAATGCCCCACACATAATTACTCCTTACATCAATTTATCCATTTATATTTTTCTTAAATTACTTAAATTATATCGGGCAACATGATGGAACCGTATTCCATTAAAATACTGATTGTATCCAGCGCGGCGTAGAATTAGCCGGACTGCTGCAGCGTCACGTATTATGACCTATCTTTAGTACGGGGTAATATTTTGCGAAGCTATACCTGTCATGGGCGCTGCCACCATTAAATTTCATAATTATTCGTTTGGNTATAGTTCTGCTCAGGAAATTATCCAAATGATCCATTATCCATGTATGGTGCCCCAATATTATTATTATTATTATTATTATTATTATTATTATTATTGTTGTTGTTGTTGTTGTTGTTGTTATTATTATTATTAACAGTGTAATTAGTAAAAATAGGAATTTATAACAAATACGTATTTTTGTTTTGCGCATGCAAGATATATATGTCTGACAATATATTGTAGCCTAGGTCTAATTTATTTAATTAAAAACGGTTTTACATGTATATCCTAAATAATTCATTACAAAACTTTCATAACTTACCAAGAGATACAGATTCAGTACAGTGAACAGCGGAATGCTCTTAACTTGTGTGTGTCACCACTTTTGGAATAGAATGGACTGCACCTATACCAAGCCTTCTTATAAAGCTTTATTGACTAGCGATGGCAAATGTTGCCCCTAGTCACGGAACTGCACGTGTTTCCTGAAATCACGTTTGAGATGGAATTGGAGGTTACAGTCACATTTGGAGCAATTCGAAAGCCTTTCAAGGGCTTACGAAGAAACAAGGTACCTCGACAATTACAACCATATGCAGCACACACGGGAAACGGCGCGAGAAGGGACCTGCTTACCACCCACATACCTGTACAATGCTGCCTTTAATAGCTGCCGTCCCGGCTGCAGAGGGGTTATACATAATTAGGTGATTTATGCTTGCCTGCATGCGCACTCTGTTAGGATCCACTTAAATGTTTTTGACAGATTGCGGCACACACTCTCAACGAGACATGGAAGCATTTATTATTTGGCATGTAATAAATGAGGATCGCGTTTCTTGATTGTGTATGGAGTCTATATTAACCATAAAGAGCTTCTTGAATATAACCAAACGTAGAGTAAAACGGTTCCATATAAATTAATGGTGCTGATTG